GCTTGAAACATATTTTTAAGGCAGTTAATTAAATATGCCATTCAAATTAAAAAAAAATCCCTTAAGGGGTTACTTAATACAATATATTCGGGATGAAAGTTTGTATGGAAATTTGTTATTTTTGAAGATAGAACTATGAAACTTTTCTTTGGCTTTTTTTAATTAGCCTAAATGATTAAAAATACCATCAAAGGTCACTATTCCACACGGACGAAGTCGCGGGAACAGCTAGTTTACCATAAAATTAACAAGAAATTCATATGACGTATGGACGACCTCAAACAAGCTATGATACGGACTGCTATGCATAGTCGACACGCAGACTAATGGCCTTCAAAATGACAATGCAAGTAGGTATTGGTAAGGGTAAAATATAGCAAAAAATATATTATACTTAACACTGAATTTCGTGACACACTTATATATATAGTCAAGGGTTATTTATATTTTTATTTTATTAAAGAAATGCAGTATTACAAGTTATAAATTAATAGAAATAGATATTTTTTACTTAATTCTATGTGTAAAGTTTAAAAATTACTGTATACATCTAACCAACAACTAAAAGAGTGCTAAGTTAGTCAACGTTTAGTTTGAAAAGGTCATTTTTTCAAATTCAAATTCAAATTCAAAAATAATTTATTCATGTAGGACATTTTAGCCGCTTATGAACGTCAAGTTTTTACATTATAATTTTTTTTCCCTACCGTCCAGTTCGGTATATAGATCCAGAAATAATCTTTATTCAAATAAACTCATTACAAGCACTTTTGAATAGTCATATTTTGATTTTACCGCTCATTCGGAATGCAGATTCATCACAAGAAGAATGAGCAAGAAACTTGTGTGTTGCTCTTTTTAATAGAAGTTTTTTTTATATAAATAATTACAGTATAACAAGTAAGAGTCATGCAATAATCAACATAGAAGTCGCTACGCACTCATTATTAATGTAATCAGATAATATTGTCAGTGCTATAGATTTAAAGTTTTTCTATAAAAACATTATTATCGTTAACGAATTCTTCAATTTTATAGTAGGTTTTTTTTTTAATAATATAGACTGCTGAATCCATTGCTAGTAATATAAAATTTCAAGTTGACCTCCACGCGGTACCCCTGGATACGATCGTGATAGATTCCTGGTAAATTTGCCACATTTGCCACGAACGGTTAACTGACCTAACTTCATACTCATATTATCATCCTACACTGGTGCCCCGCCAGCGTAAACTGTTAGCGCAGGCGGGCGTACCATTCCATTATCATAATATATATATTTTTATATGTAGGCGACAGTGGCCACTTACCACCAGGTAGGCTGTCAGCTTATTTGACATTCCAATGACGTTAAAAAAATAACAGAATAACTGAACGGATATTTAGATAAGAGTTTTTATGATCAGATTCAACGGCTGATAACGTGTAAAATAAAAACTTAAATGAACATCATATTGACCGAACTGGGATCTCGATTAATACTGGTTTCGGTTCTTGGTAAACGTATTTTTTGTTTCGCAACCACTGTGATGGTTAATGACGTCATATCGTTTACGCGTTTCCCATCTACGTCACCCTAAAAAGGATAAAGTATCTTTGGCAACTCTGAGTCGATTTTACTGATTCATTTTTAATTAAAGAAGTTTAGTTCTGGTCTAAGTAAGCTGGTCCTTTTGTATATTCTATCACTATTTGTGTTGATTAGTCCCATATTATATAATAGGTACTGAAAATATTTAATTTAACGAATAATATAACTAGATATGTTTTGATAAAAGTTTATATTTTTATTTATTTGATTACATTATTAACTATATATATGTGTACATTATACACATTATATATATGTAGTTTTTAATTATAACATTAGTAATATTGCACCCGCCTGCGCTAATTATTCAAGGATGATAAGATGAAAATGACGGAAGGTCAGTTATGCCATCGTAGTAAATTTCCAGGAATGTATCACATATATATATACATTATATATATATATAATATATATATATGTAAGATAATGTGCTTAACAGCTGATATTATAGCTTTTAGCTAGAAAAAGAATTGTATTGAGGTGTTGGATTTGAAGTCCTATTAGTGTGATATTTTCTCACAGTCAATTGTTCTATCATACATATATGTACAGTGAACCCTCGTAAATTATCTACCGATTAGTGTCATAGGCCTTTCACCCGCACTCTGTTTTAATACATAGTGTGTAATACTGTGTAACCAGCTTAAATATTAACATTTCCATATTTACTATAATAAATAGTAGTATTTGACATATGTTATGAACATGTTTTATATAGAGTAGTCCTGCTAGGAAAAGTATTGCTTCCTGCCGTGTAATATTATGTTTTCGCCATCTAGTGAACTCATTCCAGTATATACTTAAAATTTCATCAAAAACGGTCCAGCAGTTTAGGTAGAGTTCGACCATAAACACTGATATAGAGTAGAATGTTATAAGATGTGTATTTGAACTGATGTATCAGGTACCTAATATTAATTTCCTTAAAAATGGCCTTGGTAATCTAGTGATTTAATACGCGTGGAGGATTATTTATATCTGACATATATACAAAAAAATGAATCTTTGTTTTGTATCACTTGTTTTAAATCCATAACACAAACTCTACTTAGCTTGGGACTAGATGGCACTATGTGAATTGTCCTGAGATAATATTAAATGGTACATCAAAAAATAGTCTATAAATGTTGTTTCTAGTCAAGGTTGAAGGTAATATACAACAAAATAAAGTCCATTAACTAAATATTGAGTTTTTATCTCAATTTTGTTTAGTAAACAATATAGTAAGTAGTATCTTACATAATAAACTAAATGTAAATTACTATAATCACCTATCTACTTAACTACAAGTAGCAGAAAGCAATAAAAGTACGCAGTCTGATAATTAAGTACATTTCATTCACACTTATGTGTTTACAGTTTTTCTTGTTACTCTGGTTTTCTAGATACCCGTAATTACTTCATCTTAATCATACACTCATATAAGGCGTGAATAGGGGAATCCTTGCCATTTAAATAAGATCTGCATAATTCTTTACCATTCCGATGTTGAATCATTTTATACCAGACGTAGACTTAGTAAAAAGTTGTCTGTGTGGGTGGTTGCATAATACCTTACTTAGTAATATCTTATTATCTTCCTCCGATCGATCCCTGTCCAATTCAAAATTGAAATTACGACGCCCTGAGCTGAGGTTCGAACCCCTAGCCCTTAGACTAAAGTCGTATCCGTCAGGCGGGAGTGGCTTTCAGCCACTCCATAAGTCCTTCCGCGGGTTTGGAGTGTCATCTTCAATTGCCCAGTATCGTCCAGTGAAGCTTAAAAGACCAGTTGCGGCTAACAGCATTAGAGTAGTCCGAAAATAATTGTCTTATTATTGACAGTCTCGATGGTCTAGTGGTTCAGCACAACGCCTTACCTCCGATGGCCGAGGGTTCGATTCCTACCACAATACAAACATTTGTATTCAAGAGTGTGTATAATTTTTATGTAAATTGTTTACTAGCTGTCCCGGCAAACGTTGTTTTGCCATATAAATTAATAACGCTATAAAAAAATAGGGGTTGATGATTTCTATCATCACCCTTCTGGGTGAAAATTTAGGATTGCATGTATTTTTGTATGATACAACATACAAAAATAATACTAAAACATACAACATACTAAAAATTTTGTCTAAAATTTAAAAAAAAAAATTCGGGGTGGACTATCCCTAACATTTAGGGGAAAAATAGATGTTGGCCGATTCTCAGACTTACTCAATACGCTCAAAAAATTTCACGAGAATCGGTCAAGCCGCTTCGGAGGAGTAAGGGAACGAAAACTGTGACACGAGAATTTTATATATAAGATGTAGTTATAAAATGAAATAATATTTATATCAGTTGTTACGGGTGCTAGCATAATATAACCTCTGCTTAGCTTGAGATTAGATGATGCTGTGTGAATTATTATACATTATTAGCGATGATAGTCGATGAAAATAATAACCCTGTATTTTACTGGCCAGTGCCAGGGAATAAATCTAGTAGTACAATAAGAAGAAATCGAGAAATGAGATCTTATAACATTAAGTCTAGAACAATACTTGTGGCATTAACTCGTGACGTATTTGACATTGGTTGCTGTTATTTACGTAACACGAGTGGTCAGATCTGATGGGTCATACGGTGGCCTTTGATCTGCAGACTGGAGAAATGACATGCTTCATCTAGATCCGCTTTACTTTACAATAATTGTGGTGCAAGTGATAAACTTATTGAGAAACAGTTGGACTGCGACACGATTTAAATTTATTGCGATAATAATTGCGAATTATTTTAAAAAATGTTTAGTACAATATATTAATTAATAGAGTCTTAACAGCTTGCAAGCACGTCTAATGCAATTTGATCGAAACGCTGAGAGAAATAAATACCTTATTTATTATAAAATTATCAAATAAAAATGAAATTTACTATATTAATAATAACTGATTTGTTATAAAATGCATCAGCTGACAATATCTCTGTGAATATGGTTATAAGAATGTTTGTTGTGATTTTTTAATTAATTTAAAAGTACTATGTAATTTATCATTATCATCCCAACCTTTATAGAAAAGAATCCTAAAAATGGATTATTTTTCCATTTTCTTCTGTTTTAGGACGGATAAGATTAAATTAATTTGTAATAAAAGTTCTTCATATTTTATTGAATTTTATTATATAAACACAAATGGAGTTTACTAATATTATCCTGGGTAAAGTTTTAAGATGTTTTACTATTTATTAAAATTATAGATTCTTTTTAACTTGATTAATGGTTAAGTCAAAGCCTCTGGGCACGAGGTATCAGCTGGTATGCAGTTCTATGGCACTCGCTATATCCCATGTCTTGATTCGAAATTACTGTCTCGATAGCAAGGTGATTAGTATTTCGGGCGCCGATGGTGGGAGCTGCGCGCGCAGTCTCTTGCCGCCTGCCGTTTTGTGCGCCCGCCCGCCGCAGCGCGCACTACACTAACGCGCGCCAAATTTGAAAATTCAAATACCGAACACTCGAATTTTGAAAATCGAACGTTGTGTTTTTGTCAACAATAGTGCATATCTCTGTGTTGTGTTCCAATACTAAAGTGACGTTTGTAAGTTGCCAGTGTCTCCGTTTGGGGACCGACTTTCACCTACTTAAAGTTTTTGCAAGCGGTGAGTGTTTTTCGCTTATTTTAATCAGACATCGCGTAATTGTCTGGAGTTGAATGTTACACAATTTCATCTCGTTACTTCAATGTGCGGAAACTGTGGCGAAATTATTTATTTTTCTTAAAAAAAAGTCGCTCCCTTTTTGCTACATTGATGCATTCAATACCTAATTATAAATTAATTTTCGCAGCCAGTAAAACAAGTTTTGAAATATTTCAACGCAGTATATGGTTAGTTATTAATAATAATTTGTGGTTATGAAATATAATTTTTGAAAATTGCATAAGTGTAAAATTGTATATTTATAAGTGGTCGTTGATGTCTTTTGTATGCGTGCTAAGAGAGACGCGAGGCGCATGCGTCGATGCCGCGTTTTCTCTTCGCGCAGTATTTTTTATTGTTTGATGTACTAGGCTCATTACTTATCATGCTATAACAATAACAATTATATGCTCACGTGATAAAACTGCAATGGAATGCAATCAGGTTTTTATTTCCGCATTTATTTTTGACCTTGGCCCCGATATGTGGTAAATTGTACGTGAAAGTAATTTATTCTGATATTATCAATATTATAATTATTGGTAGTAATATAAAATTGTATTAGTAATATAATAACATTTGTAGGTTTAAATAAATAATATTAACCAGCTTCTTTGTAAGCTGTATTTCGGTTTTGGGGTGAGATATAGCAGTTAAATACGGAGGTATTCTTATAGCTTATGTCTTAGTCCTCTGAAATGGAAACGAATAAGGAGTACCACAGCCATATGATGATACTGATGAAGTTGATACTTAGTTGCATAAGAAAAAACCCTGGTCAACTCATCATATCTAGTAGGTATACTTATATTACAATCTCTGCTAAGATTGGGAACTGATGACGTTCCCAAGAGAGATTATATTATAGAGATGTTCCCAAGATGAGATTATAATATAAGTATACTAGACAACTTCTACTTACGTGCAGTCTAAATTTGACTAATTGATGCAATAGTATGAAACAATTAAAAAAAAAAAATTAAACCGTATGTTTTTTGCATATTGAAAGCAACTATCGACGTTGGGGTAAACCCATTAGGAAGTTAACATATTAATGATGATATATATTTTATTTATTTAGATAAACAATAATATTTTGTCAATAACATATTGTACATGATATTAAAAAAACATATTGAAAATTGGCACCAACACCCTTTACCACAAATTACAATTTTTTAAACAGTACCTAACTATAATGCTAGCTTATTATACTTCTATTTTGAATCTAGCATAGCAGAATGGGAGGCTATTACCATCTCTCAGATCAATTTGTTTTGTCTTCGGTATTTCCACTACCAGAGAGATAGCCAAAAAATGCAAACTGTTATAAACATTTTTATTGTCATCCAGATTAGACTCGCAACCTGTAGGTTATATTAATCTACTAAAAATGAAAAATATCAATTTAATTAGGTTCAGTAGCGTTCAATTAGTGCAGGTATTGTGAAATATGTAAAGGAGAAGTTTAATGGAGACGCTCATTTTCATAGTCTGTATAAATCTTGAGGTACTAAAAAATAAGTAAAACCATTAATATGCAAAGATTTACCTCAAGGTCTAAAAACTATATAGTGTTACGACAGACCACTACCGATGTTCGGTGGTTTGGTAACAGTCTTCTGAGATTATGTCATCCATATAAATATGCATAAATATATAATGATCTTCCAATGATTTATTATTTCAATATTGTTATTTTTAGCAATTGGGCAATGCGGTCGAGGGCTCGGAATTGAAATCTTACCGATATATATCACAGATAATATAATATTACATACTAATATTATAAAAGTGGTAGTTTGTGAATGTGAGTGAATGGCAGAATATTTATTACTCTATCACGTAAAAATTACTGAATGTATTGTAATGAAACTTTACAATAATATAGCTTATATATGAGAATGATACATAGGCTATAAATTTTACACGAATGAAATCGCAGGCACAGCTAGTGCCTATTGCCTCAATGGTCTAGCGGTTTATCACACCGCCTTACTTCCGACGATCGCGGGTTCGAAACCTCGCACGGCGCAAACATTTGTATTCATGAGTATCATCGTTTGTGTAGGTCTGGGTATTTTCAATATATAATATGTATGTATTTACGAAAAAAAATCTATGTATTTATCAGTTATCTAGTACCCATAACACAAGCTTTAGCTAGCTTAACTTGGGACTAGATGGCGCTGTGTGAATTGTCCTGAGATTATTATTATTATTAGCTAGTATTAATTGAAATAGGGTAGATATTTCAGCGTAGACAAGTTGTACCTATATATTTGTCTATGTAAGTATCTCTGTTTCACCTATTTCAACTAACAAGCTGCTTGCTTTATATTGTATGTTTCGATTGAAAAATGAGATAAAGTCTCAATCCATCAGAATGGTAACACTTGAGCATCACATAATAAAGTCATGTGTATAGTATAGTTTAGTTTGTTACTACGTGTTTATTGTCTAAGTGTAGGCTTCTATAGAAGATCAGTCAAAAAGATGTAAGATTTCTCCGACTTGTAGATTTAACAGTAGTAATTATTATTTTCAATCTTTTTCTTATTTATATTTCTTCTGCATTGAGTAATGTATGTATTTGCTTATTTTTAATTTAATTATGTATCGTGAAACTTATGTTATTATATACAAAAATTGGATAACATTAAATAATTTCTGCATAGTATTAGAGACTTTTTTTTATAAATTCAAACTAGTTTCTGTATTTTATTAATATAAATAATATAATCAACAAAGGATACTTAATGGTATATTTTACATATATGTAAAAGTAAAAATATAAATAAAAAAATATAATTTTTTCGTTTTGGAGATACTTGGAGGTCATGATGACCTACACTATAACTTTAATACTTTTGTTTACATGTGTATTCCAGTTACTACAAAAAAAGTAAGCGAATTAAATAATTTTGTTCTCTATTATCTTTTTTGAAGAATAAAAAAAAACTGATGAAACCTGGTAAACGTCACCCGCATCTAATTGTATTTTAATGTTCCTGGAGTTTAAAACATTTTTTTCTTTTTTGCATATTCATATATTTTTTTATTCTGACACCTTACAACATATTTTTATTTCAAATAAATACATAATCGATAGTATATAATTAAAGCTACAATGCCTCATTTCTAAGGGTAAAGATGTTAATCCAACATATCCTGTAACACTACTATATTTATCAATCAAACCGGAACTCAGTATGCAAATTATTAAAATAGTTTGTACAAACTTCAGTTGAATGTAACCTATTAATAATTATATTTCTTATTTATTGCTTGCAAAAATGAATATCGAAATCGGTTTACCTAAACAGTTTTCGTTGGTATAGTATAAAATGGTTAGAAATGATTGTAATTTCATATTGGCACTATATCAATCATATTGACAATACATTTGATATATTAAGGCTTAGTATATTTAGTATTAATACGAACGTGGATGGATGGAATGGATGAGGACGTCCTAAAAACAGATGGATGGATTGTGTGAAAGATGATATGAATAAAAGAAGAGTATGCTCAGATTTGACGGACGATAGAGAGCAGTGGAAGAGAATAACATACAGCGCCGACCCCAAATAGTTATTTATTTATTCATTTGCATTCTATAGTGTTACAATAATGGTTGACATAATATATTATAAGAGCACTATGGACCCTGATGGGCGCAGCAGGCTACACAGAGATACAGTGGCGTTAACAGATTTTTATTATTTTGTACATTATTCTTCTGATCGATGTGTATGATAAGGATAAAAATAATGAGATAAAGGCAAGGCAATGATGAGTATATTCAGTATTACAAATTATTTCTAGCTATTTTTTCTTTATTATCTTTATATACAACTACCTGTTAATAGCGAATTCATCCACATCGGACGTAAGACGATATGACGGACTTAAAGTGCTCACTATTGGTATCCTAAACTCATAAGTAATTATTTAAAAAAGAATTACTTTGCTATATAGTATATTTATATTACAATGTACAATTTATAACATACCATTAATGATATCCAATGTTGATTACAGAAAATATATCTTATGGGTAAAGAAACAATTTATTTATTAAAATAATTAATATGTTATAATAAAAACAACTAAACTTAGTTTTAATCAAATTAACAAAGATTTTTAATTATATAAAAGTGAACAACCAAAGACACAAATAGTGGTCTTAAAGAACATTTACATATTAAAAACCCTTAATTTTAATTAATAATATAATATAAAATACTTAATTTTTATTTGTGTACCTAACACAAATAAAAGTTAAGTAAACAATTTTTTTCTATATATTCTATAGGTTTATTACGTATATTAAGTAAGGAGCAGTATTAAAAATGTCTTCAATATTTGTATTTAAAAATTGATACATTTAGAATTTTGTAATAGTTGTTTAAGACTTTTATAATGTTTAAATGAATAATGGACTGAGATGGCGAGAGCTGACTGGCACACCTATCGAATTTCGATACTCTAGTTTACACAAAGGATTTAAAATCCAATGAAAATCCTATGAGTTACTACATTGAAATGGAATAGAATATACAAAAATAACAATGAAGTTCATTGTCGACAAAGGACAGTTAATGGTCCATTTAACCGCTTTGTTATCGATTAACTAACAGTTAACTATTATTGTTAATGTTAACAATAACATATGGCAGGTTGTTGCGTAATGATGTGAGAACGTATGTACATTGTTGATTCGTGGTCATAATGATATTAAAAACTGAGACCACATACAAAATAATGTTCTAAACCTAATGTTATATGTAATCACGGTATTTTTGTATGTAAAACACAGTTCTATATAATATAAAAAAATGTTTATAGTAAAAAAAAATACTTAGCTTATGTTAAATATTCTTTCATATTCCATATTTTGACAGCTACTATTTCGGGTTGTAATTAAAAAAATGACATGGTCGTTACGAAAAATAACT